TTATAGTGCAAGTAGGGCCAAGGAGAACGGAAACGCTCATTTCTCAAAAAGTAAAGGGAATCTAACAGTCTCACTCGATCAGAAGGTGGGAAATATATAAATCTAGTGAGCTTATAAGGTTCAAAAGGAATCTAATGCATATGTATATGGAAAGTGGTGCATTGGCCAGGTCGGTCAGTATGGGAACTTAGAGTGCAAATGCCTGGGAGAACGGAACCGCTCAGATCTCGCATAATACACGGAATCTAGTGGTCTCACTCAAATATAAGGTAGGAAATATATTCATCTAGTGAACGTTAGGGTTTGAAAGGTAACTAATGCACATGTGTAGAGAAAATGGTGCATCGGCCAGTCTGGCCGGCATTTCGCACTCATAGTGCAGGTGGGGCCAGGTAGAACGGAAACGCTCGTTTCTCAAAAAGTAGAGGGAATCTAACGGTCTCACTCGATCAGAAGGTGGGAGATATATAAATCTAGTCAGCTAAAAAGGTTTGAAATGTATTCAACGCACATGTATAGAGAAAATGGTTTATTGGCCAGGTCGGTCAGTATCGGAACTTAAAATGCAAATGCCAGGGAGAACGGAAGCGCTCAGATCTCGCATAGTACACAGAATCAAGTGGTCTCACTCAAATAGAAAGTAGGAAATATATTCATCTAGTGAACGTAAGGGTTTGAAAGGTAACTAACACACATGTGTAGAGAAAATTGTGCATCGGCCAGTCTGGCCGGCATTTCGCACTTATCGTGTATCTAGGGCCAAGGAGAACGAAAACGCTCATTTCTCATAAAGTAGAGGGAATCTAGTGGTCTCACTCGATCAGAAGGTGGGAAATATATAAATCTAGTGAGCTAATAAGGTTCGAAAGGAATCTAATGCATATGTATATGGAAAATGGTGCATTGGCCAGGTCGGTTAGTATGGGAACTTTGAGTGCAAATGCTAGGGAGAACGGAAGCGCTCAGATCTCGCATAGTACACGGAATCTAGTGGTCTCACTCAAATAGAAGGTAGGAAATAAATTCATCTAGTGAACGTAAGGGTTCGAAAGGTAACTAACGCACGTGTGTAGAGAAAATGGTGCATCGGCCAGTCTGGCCGGCATTTCGCACTTATAGTGCAAGTAGGGCCAAGGAGAACGGAAACGCTAATTTCTCAAAAAGTAAAGGGAATCTAGCGGACTCACTCGATTAGAAGGTGGGAAATATATAAATCTAGTGAGTTTATAAGGTTCGAAAGGAATCTAATGCATATGTATATGGAAAATGGTGCATTGGCCATGTCGGTCAGTATGGGAACTTAGAGTGCAAATGCCTGGAAGAACAGAACCGCTCAGATCTCGCATAATACACGGAATCTAGTGGTCTCACTCAAATATAAGGTAGGAAATATATTCATATAGTGAACGTAAGGGTTTGAAAGGTAACTAACGCACATGTGTAGAGAAAATTGTGCATCGGCCAGTCGGGCCGGCATTTCGCACTTATAGTGCAAGTAGGGCCAAGGAGAACGGAAACGCTCATTTCTCAGAAAGTAAAGGGAATCTAGCCGGATCACTCGATCAAAAGGTGGGAAATATATAAATCTAGTGAGCTAATAAGGTTCGGAAGGAATCTAATGTATACGTATATGGAAAGTGGTGCATTGGCCAGGTCGGTCAGTATGGGAACTTAGAGTGCAAATGCCAGGGGGAATGGAAGCGCTCAGATCTCGCATAGTACACAGAATCTAGTGGTCTCACTCAAATAGAAGGTAGGAAATAAATTCATCTAGTGAACGTAAGGGTTTGAAAGGTAACTAACGCACATGTGTAGAGAAAATGGTGCATCGGCCAGTCTGGCCGGCATTTCGCACTTATAGTGCAAGTAGGGCCAAGGAGAACGGAAACGCTAATTTCTCAAAAAGTAAAGGGAATCTAGCGGTCTCACTCGATTAGAAGGTGGGAAATATATAAATCTAGTGAGTTTATAAGGTTCGAAAGGAATCTAATGCATATGTATATGGAAAATGGTGCATTGGCCATGTCGGTCAGTATGGGAACTTAGAGTGCAAATGCCTGGGAGAACAGAACCGCTCAAATCTCGCATAATACACGGAATCTAGTGGTCTCACTCAAATATAAGGTAGGAAATATATTCATATAGTGAACGTAAGGGTTTGAAAGGTAACTAACGCACATGTGTAGAGAAAATTGTGCATCGGCCAGTCTGGCCGGCATTTCGCACTTATCGTGCAAGTAGGGCCAAGGAGAATGGAAACGCTCATTTCTCAAAAAGTAAAGGGAATCTAGCGGTCTCACTCGATCAGAAGGTGGGAAATATATAAATCTAGTGAGCTAATAAGGTTCGAAAGGAATCTAATGCATATGTATATGGAAAGTGGTGCATTGGCCAGGTCGGTCAGTATGGGAACTTAGAGTGCAAATGCCAGGGGGAATGGAAGCGCTCAGATCTCGCATAGTACACAGAATCTAGTGGTCTCATTCAAATAGAAGGTAGGAAATAAATTCATCTAGTGAACGTAAGGGTTTGAAAGGTAACTAACGCACATGTGTAGAGAAAATGGTGCATCGGCCAGTCTGGCCGGCATTTCGCACTTATAGTGCAAGTAGGGCCAAGGAGAACGGAAACGCTCATTTCTCAAAAAGTAGAGGGAGTCTAGCGGTCTCACTCGATCAAAAGGTGGGAAATATATAAATCTAGTGAGCTAAAAAGGTTTGAAAGGAATCTAATGCATATGTATATGGAAAGTGGTGCATTGGCCAGGTCGGTCAGTATGGGAACTTCAGTGCAAATGCCTGGGAGAACAGAACCGCTCAGATCTCGCATAATACACGGAATCTAGTGGTCTCACTCAAATATAAGGTAGGAAATATATTCATCTAGTGAACGTAAGGGTTTGAAAGGTAACTAACGCACATGTGTAGAGAAAATTGTCCATCGGCCAGTCTGGCCGGCATTTCGCACTCAGAGTGCAAGTAGGGCCAAGGAGAACGGAAACGCTCATTTCTTAGAAAGTAAAGGGAATCTAGTGGGATCACTCGATCGAAAGGTGGGAAATATATAAATCTAGTGAGCTAATAAGGTTCAGAAGGAATCTAATGCATATGTATATGGAAAGTGGTGCATTGGCCAGGTCGGTCAGTATGGGAACTTAGAGTGCAAATGCCTGGGAGAATGGTACCGCTCAGATCTCGCATAATACATGGAATCTAGTGGTCTCACTCAAATATAAGGTAGGAAATATATTCATCTAGTGAACGTAAGGGTTGAAAGGTAACTAATGCACATGTGTAGAGAAAATGGTGCATCGGCCAGTCTGGCCGGCATTTCGCACTCATAGTGCAGGTTGGGCCAGGTAGAACGGAAACGCTCGTTTCTCAAAAAGTAGAGGGAATCTAACGGTCTCACTCGATCAGAAGGTGGGAAATATATAAATCTAGTCAGCTAAAAAGGTTTGAAATGTATTCAACGCACATGTATAGAGAAAATGGTGCATTGGCCAGGTCGGTCAGTATCGGAACTTAAAATGCAAATGCCAGGGAGAACGGAAGCGCTCAGATCTCGCATAGTACACGGAATCAAGTGGTCTCACTCAAATAGAAAGTAGGAAATATATTCATCTAGTGAACGTAAGGGTTTGAAAGGTAACTAACGCACATGTGTAGAGAAAATTGTGCATCGGCCAGTCTGGCCGGCATTTCGCACTTATAGTGCAACTAGGGCCAAGGAGAACGGAAACGCTCATTTCTCAAAAAGAAGAGGGAATCTAGTGGTCTCACTCGATCAGAAGGTGGGAAATCTATAAATCTAGTGAACTAATAAGGTTCGAAAGGAATCTAATGCATATGTATATGGAAAATGGTGCATTGGCCAGGTCGGTCAGTATGGGAACTTAGAGTGCAAATGCCAGGGAGAACGGAAGCGCTCAGATCTCGCATAGTACACAGAATCTAGTGGTCTCACTCAAGTAGAAGGTAGGAAATAAATTCATCTAGTGAACGTAACGGTTTGAAAGGTAACTAACGCACATGTGTAGAGAAAATGGTGCATCGGCCAGTCTGGCCGGCATTTCGCACTTATAGTGCAAGTAGGGCCAAGGAGAAAGGAAACGCTCATTTCTCAAAAAGTAAAGGGAATCTAGCGGTCTCACTCGATCAGAAGGTGGGAAATATATAAATCTAGTGAGCTAATAAGGTTCGGAAGGAATCTAATGCATATGTATATGGAAAAAGGTACATTGGCCAGGTCGGTCAGTATGGGAACATAGAGTGCAAATGCCTGGGAGAACGGAACTGCTCAGATCTCGCATAATACACGGAATCTAGTGGTCTCACTCAAATATAAGGTAGGAAATATATTCATCTAGTGAACGTAAGGGTTTGAAAGGTAACTAACGCACATGTGTAGAGAAAATGGTGCATCGGCCAATCTGGCCGGCATTTCGCACTCATAGTGCAGGTGGGGCCAGGGAGAACGGAAACGCTCGTTTCTCAAAAAGGAGAGGGAATCTAACCGTCTCACTCAATCAGAAGGTGGGAAATATATAAATCTAGTCAGCTAAAATGGTTTGAAATGTATTCAACGCACATGTATAGAGAAAATGGTGCATTGGCCAGGTCGGTCAGTATCGGAACTTAGAATGCAAATGCCAGGGAGAACGGAAGAGCTCAGATCTCGCATAGTACACGGAATCAAGTGGTCTCACCCAAATAGAAAGTAGGAAATATATTCATCTAGTGAACATAAGGTTTTGAAAGGTAACTAACTCACATGTGTAGAGAAAATTGTGCGTCGGCCAGTCTGGCCGGCATTTCGCACTGATAGTGCAACTAGGGCCAAGGAGAACGGAAACGCTTATTTCTCAAAAAGTAGAGGGAATCTAGCGGTCTCACTCGAAAAGAAGGTGGGAAATATAAAAATCTAGTGAGCTAAAAACATTTGAAAGGAATCTAATGCATATGTATATGGAAAATGGTGCATTGGCCAGGTCGGTCAGTATGGGAACTTCGAGTGCAAATGACATGGACGTGGTCGTGGACGTGGACGTGGACGTGGACATGGACATGGACATGGACGTGGACATGGACGTGGACATGGACGTGGACGTGGACATGGACGTGGACATGGACGTAGACATGGACGTAGACGTGGACGTGGACGTGGACGTGGACGTGGTCGTGGACGTGGTCGTGGACGTGGACGCGGACGTGGTCGTGGACGTGGACGTGGACGTGGACGGGGACGCGGACGTGGACGCGGACGTGGACGCGGACGTGGACGTGGACGGGGACGTGGACGTGGACGTGGAGTGGACGTGGAGTGGACGTGGACGTGGAGTGGACGTGGACGTGGACGTGGACGTGGACGTGGGCGTGGACGAGGACGTGGACGTGGACGTGGACGTGGAGTGGACGTGGACGTGGACGTGGACGTGGAGAACTTGGACGTGGACCTGGACGTGAACGTGGACGTGGACGTGGACGTGGACGTGGACGTGGAGTGGACGTGGACATGGATGTGGACGTGGACGTGGACGTGGACCTGGACGTGGACGTAGACGTAGACGTGGACGTGGACGTGGACATGGACGTCGACGTGGACGTGGACGCGGACGTGGAGGACGTGGACGTGGACGTGGACGTGGACGTGGACGTGGAGAACTTGGACGTGGACGTGGACGTGGACGTGGACGTGGAGGTGGACGTGGAGGTGGACGTGGACGTGGACGTGGACGTGGACGTGGACGTGGAGAACTTGGACGTGGACATGGACGTGAACGTGGACATGGACGTGGACATGGACGTGGACGTGGACGTGGACGTGGACGTGGACATGGACGTGGACGTGGACGTGGAGTGGACGTGGACATGGATGTGGACGTGGACGTGGACGTAGACGTAGACGTGGACGTGGACGTGGACATGGACGTGGACGTGGACGCGGACGTGGAGGACGTGGACGTGGACGTGGACGTGGACGTGGACGTGGAGAACTTGGACGTGGACGTGGACGTGGACGTGGACTTGGACGTGGACGTGGACGCGGACGTGGAGGACGTGGACGTGGACGTGGACGTGGACGTGGACGTGGAGAACTTGGACGTGGACGTGGACGTGGACGTGGACGTGGACGTGGACGTGGACGTGGAGGACTTGGACGTGGATATGGACGTGGACGTGGAGTGGACGTGGACGTGGACGTGGACGTCGACGTGGACGTGGACGTGGACGTGGAAGTGGACGTGGACGTGGACGTGGACGTGGAGTGGACGTGGACGTGGACGTGGACGTGGACGTGGACGTGGATGTGGACGTGGACGTGGACGTGGACGTGGAGGACGTGGACGTGGACGTGGACGTGGAGGACGTGGACGTGGACGTGGACGTGGAGGACGTAGACGTGGACGTGGACGTGGAGAACGTGGACGTGGACGTGGACGTGAACGTGGACGTAGACGTGGACGTGGAGGACGTGGACGTGGACATGGACGTGGACGTGGACGTGGACGTGGACGTGGACGTGGACGTGGACATGGACCTGGACATGGACGTGGACGTGGACGTGGACGTGGACGACGTGGACATGGACGTGGACGTGGACGTGGACATGGACTTAGACGTGGACATGGACGTGGACGTGGACATGGACGTGGACGTGGACGTGGACGTGGACGTGGACATGGAGGTGGACGTGGACGTGGACATGGACGTGGACGTGCACAAGACGTGGACGTGAACGTGGACGTGGACATGACGTGGACGTGGACGTGGACATGGACGTGGACGTGGACGTGGACATGGACGTGGACGTGGACGTGGACATGGACGTGGACGTGGACATGGACGTCGACATGGACGTGGACATGGACGTGGACGTGGACGTGGACCTGGACGTGGACGTGGAGGACTTGGACGTGGAGATGGACGTTGACGTGGACGTGGACGTGGACGTGGACATGGACGTGGACGTGGACATGGACGTGGACGTGGACGTGGACATGGACGTGGACATGTACGTGGACGTCGACGTGGAAGTGGACGTGGACGTGGACATGGACGTGGACATGTACGTGGACGTCGACGTGGAAGTGGACGTGGACGTGGATATGGAAGTGGACATGGACGTGGAAGTGGACGTCGACGTGGAAGTGGAAGTGGACGTGGACATGGACGTGGACATGGACGTGGACGTGGATGTGGACGAAGACATGGTCGTGGATGTGGACGTGGACGTGGACGTGGACATGGACTTAGACGTGGACGTGGACGTGGACGTGGACGTGGACATGGACTTAGACGTGGACGTGGACGTGGACGTGGACGTGGTCGTGGACGTGGACGTGGTCGTGGACATGGACGTGGACGTGGACATGGACGTGGACGTGGACGTGGACGTAGACATGGACGTGGACCTGGACGTGGACGAGGACGTGGACGTGGACATGGACGTGGACGTGGACGTAGACAGGGACATGGACTTGGACGTGGACGTGGACATGGACGTGGACGTGGACATGGACATGGACATGGACGTGGACGTGAACGTGGACGTGGACATAGACGTGGACGTGGACGTGGACATGGACATGGACACGTCCACGTCCATGTCCACCTCCACGTCCATGTCCACGTCCACGTCCATGTCCACGTCCATGTCCATGTCCATGTCCACGTCCACGTCCACGTCCACGTCCATGTCATTTGCACTCTAAGTTCCCATACTGACCGACCTGGCCAATGCACCATTTTCCATATACATATGTATTAGATTCCTTTCGAACCTTATTAGCTCACTAGATTTATATATTTCCCACCTTCTGATCGAGTGAGACCGCTAGATTCCCTCTACTTTTTGAGAAATGAGCGTTTCCGTTCTCCTTGGCCCTAGTTGCACTTTAAGTGCGAAATGCCGGCCAGACTGGCCGATGCACAATTTTCTCTACACATGTGCGTTAGTTACCTTTCAAACCCTTACGTTCACTAGATGAATAGATTTCCTACTTTCTATTTGAGTGAGACCACTTGATTCCGTGTACTATGCGAGATCTGAGCGCTTCCGTTCTCCCTGGCATTTGCATTTTAAGTTCCGATACTGACCGACCTGGCCAATGCACCATTTTCTCTATATATGTGCGTTGAATACATTTCAAACCTTTTTAGCTGACTAGATTTATATATTTCCCACCTTCTGATCGAGTGAGACCATTAGATTCCCTCTACTTTATGAGAAACGAGCGTTTCCGTTCTCTCTGGCCCCACCTGCACTATGAGTGCGAAATGCCGGCCAGACTGGCCGATGCACCATTTTCTCTACACATGTGCGTTAGTTACCTTTCAAACCCTTACGTTCACTAGATGAATATATTTCCTACCTTATATTTGAGTGAGACCACTAGATTCCGTGCATTATGCGAGATCTGAGCGGTTCCGTTCTCCCAGGCATTTGCACTCTAAGTTCCCATACTGACCGACCTGGCCAATGCACCACTTTCCATATACATATGCATTAGATTCCTTCCGAACCTTATTAGCTGACTAGATTTATATATTTCCCACCTTCTGATCGAGTGAGACCGCTAGATTCCCTTTACTTTTTGAGAAATGAGCGTTTCCGTTCTCCTTGGCCCTACTTGCACTATAAGTGCGAAATGCCGGCCAGACTGGCCGACGCACCATTTTCTCTACACATGTGCGTTAGTTACCTTTCAAACCCTTACGTTCAGTAGATGAATATATTTCCTACTTTCTATTTGAGTGAGACCACTAGATTCCGTGTACTATGCGAGATCTAAACGCTTCCGTTCTCCCTGGCATTTGCATTTTAAGTTCCGATACTGACCGACCTGGCCAATGCACCATTTTCTCTATACATGTGCGTTGAATACATTTCAAACCTTTTTAGCTGACTAGATTTATATATTTCCCACCTTCTGATCGAGTGAGACCATTAGATTCCCTCTACTTTTTGAGAAACGAGCGTTTCCGTTCTCCCTGGCCCCACCTGCACTATGAGTGCGAAATGCCGGCCAGACTGGCCGATGCACCATTTTCTCTACACATGTGCGTTAGTTATCTTTCAAACCCTTACGTTCACTAGATAAATTTATTTCCTACATTCTATTTGAGTGAGACCACTAGATTCCGTGTACTATGCGAGATCTGAGCGCTTCCGTTCTCCCTGGCATTTGCATTTTAAGTTCCGATACTGACCGACCTGGCCAATGCACCATTTTCTCTATACATGTGCGTTGAATACATTTCAAACCTTTTTAGCTGACTAGATTTATATATTTCCCACCTTCTGATCGAGTGAGACCATTAGATTCCCTCTACTTTCTGAGAAACGAGCGTTTCCGTTCTCCCTGGCCCCACCTGCACTATGAGTGCGAAATGCCGGCCAGACTGGCCGATGCACCATTTTCTCTACACATGTGCGTTAGTTACCTTTCAAACCCTTACGTTCACTAGATGAATATATTTCCTACCTTATATTTGAGTGAGACCACTAGATTCCGTGTATTATGCGAGATCTGAGCGGTTCCGTTCTCCCAGGCATTTGCACTTTAAGTTCCCATACTGACCGACCTGGCCAATGCACCATTTTCCATATACATATGCATTAGATTCCTTTCGAACCTTATAAGCTCACTAGATTTATATATTTCCCAACTTCTGATCGAGTGAGAGTGCTAGATTCCCTTTACTTTTTGAGAAATGAGCGTTTCCGTTCTCCTTGGCCCTACTTGCACTATAAGTGCGAAATGCCGGCCAGACTGGCCGATGCTCCATTTTCTCTACACATGTGCGTAAGTTACCTTTCAAACCCTTACGTTCACTAGATGAATTTATTTCCTACCTTCTATTTGAGTGAGACCACTAGATTCCGTGTACTATGCGAGATCTGAGCGCTTCCGTTCTCCCTGGCATTTGCACTCTAAGTTCCCATACTGACCGACCTGGCCAATGCACCATTTTCCATATACATATGCATTAGATTCCTTTCGAACCTTATTAGCTCATTAGATTTATATATTTCCCACCTTCTGATCGAGTGAGACCGCTAGATTCCCTCTACTTTTTGAGAAATGAGCGTTTCCGTTCTCCTTGGCCCTACTTGCACTATAAGTGCGAAATGCCGGCCAGACTGGCCGATGCGCAATTTTCTCTACACATGTGCGTTAGTTACCTTTCAAACCCTTACGTTCACTAGATGCATATATTTCTTACCTTATATTTGAGTGAGACCACTAGATTCCATGTATTATGCGAGATCTGAGCGGTGCCGTTCTCCGAGGCATTTGCACTCTAAGTTCCCATACTGACTGACCTGGCCAATGCACCACTTTCCATATACATATGCATTAGATTCCTTCCGAACATTATTAGCTCACTAGATTTATATATTTCCCACCTTCTGATCGAGTGAGACCGCTAGATTCCCTTTACTTTTTGAGAAATGAGCGTTTCCGTTCTCCTTGGCCCTAGTTGCACTAAAAGTGCGAAATGCCGGCCAGACTGGCCGATGCACCATTTTCTCTACACATGTGCGTTAGTTACCTTTCAAACCCTTACGTTCACTAGATGAATTTATTTCCTACATTCTATTTGAGTGAGACCACTAGATTCCGTGTACTATGCGAGATCTGAGCCCTTCCGTTCTCCCTGGCATTTGCACTCTAAGTTCCCATACTGACCGACCTGGCCAATGCACCATTTTCCATATACATATGCATTAGATTCCTTTCGAACCTTATTAGCTCACTATAATTATATAGTTCCCACCTTCTGATTGAGTGAGACCGCTGGATTCGCTCTACTTTTTGAGAAATGAGCGTTTCCGTACTCCTTGGCCCTAGTTGCACCAAAAGTGCGAAATGCCGGCCAGACTGGCCGATGCACCATTTTCTCTACACATGTGCGTTAGTTACCTTTCAAACCCTTACGTTCACTAGATGAATTTATTTCCTACCTTGGATTTGAGTGAGACCAGTGGATTCCGTGTACTATGCGAGATCTGAGCGCTTCCGTTCTCCCTGGCATTTGCACTCTAAGTTCCCATACTGACCGACCTGGCCAATGCACCATTTTCCATATACATATGCATTAGATTCCTTCCGAACCTTATTAGCTTACTAGATTTATATATTTCCCACCTTCTGATCAAGTGAGACCGCTAGATTCCCTCTACTTTTCGAGAAATGAGCGTTTCCGTTCTCCTTGGCCCTAGTTGCACTATAAGTGCGAAATGCCGGCCAGACTGGCCGATGCACAATTTTCTCTACACATGTGCGTTAGTTACCTTTCAAACCCTTACGTTCACTAGATGAATTTATTTCCTACTTTCTATTTGAGTGAGACCACTTGATTCCGTGTACTATGCGAGATCTGAGCGCTTCCGTTCTCCCTGGCATTTGCATTTTAAGTTCCGATACTGACCGACCTGGCCAATGCACCATTTTCTCTATACATGTGCGTTGAATACATTTCAAGCCTTTTTAGCTGACTAGATTTATATATTTCCCACCTTCTGATCGAGTGAGATTGTTAGATTCCCTCCACTTTTTGAGAAACGAGCGTTTCCGTTCTCCCTGGCCCCACCTGCACTATGAGTGCGAAATGCCGGCCAGACTGGCCGATGCACCATTTTCTCTTCACATGTGCGTTAGTTACCTTTCAAACCCTTACGTTCACTAGATGAATATATTTCCTATCTTATATTTGAGTGAGAACACTAGATTCCGTGTATTATGCGAGATCTGAGCGGTTCCGTTCTCCCAGGCATTTGCACTCTAAGTTCCCATACTGACCGACCTGGCCAATGCACCATTTTTTATATACATATGCATTAGATTCCTTCGGAACCTTATTAGCTCACTAGATTTATATATTTCCCACCTTCTGATCGAGTGAGACCGCTAGATTCCCTTTACTTTTTGAGAAATGAGCGTTTCCGTTCTCCTTGGCCCTACTTGCACTATAAGTGCGAAATGCCGGCCAGACTGGCCGATGCACCATTTTCTCTACACATGTGCGTTAGTTACCTTTCAAACCTTTACGTTCACTAGATGAATTTATTTCCTACCTTCTATTTGAGTGAGACCACTAGATTCTGTGTACTATGCGAGATCTGAGCGCTTCCGTTCTCCCTGGCATTTGCACTCTAAGTTCCCATACTGACCGACCTGGCCAATGCACCATTTTCCATATACATATGCATTAGATTCCTTTCGAACCTTATTAGCTCACTAGATTTATATATTTCCCACCTTCTGATCGAGTGAGACCGCTAGATTCCCTCTACTTTTTGAGAAATGAGCATTTCCGTTCGCCTTGGCCCTAGTTGCACTATAAGTGCGAAATGCCGGCCAGACTGGCCGATGCACAATTTTCTCTACACATGTGCGTTAGTTACCTTTCAAACCCTTACGTTCACTAGATGAATATATTTCCTACTTTCTATTTGAGTGAGACCACTTGATTCCGTGTACTATGTGAGATCTGAGCGCTTCCGTTCTCCCTAGCATTTGCATTTTAAGTTCCGATACTGACCGACCTGGCCAATGCACCATTTTCTCTATACATGTGCGTTGAATACATTTCAAACCTTTTTAGCTGACTAGATTTATATATTTCCCACCTTCTGATTGAGTGAGACCGTTAGATTCCCTCTACTTTTTGAGAAACGAGCGTTTCCGTTCTCCCTGGCCCCACC